TCTCTCTCTCTCTCTCTCTCTCTCTCTCTCTCTCTCTCTCTCTCTCTCTCTCTCTCTCTCTCTCTCTCTCTCTCTCTCTCTTTCTCTATCTATCTGTCTATCTATCTATCTATCTATCTATCTATCAATCTATGCCAAGCGGTGTCTCTCCTACCGCACCGTCGAATCCGACACCCACCATCCAGACCGCCACGCCTTTCCCCCACCACATGCCACACAACACACGACCTCAAAGTGCTCCTCCCTCTCTTCCGCGCATCCACCAACGCGGGCAACGCACACTTCAGAATTACCGAAGAGTTTCTAACGATGGCACAGGAGAGGGAGAACGGCAATTTATAGTCACCAGGGGATGGTTGTCATCAGACACGGACTACTACGGCCGACAAGAATTGCAAGGCCGTTCGGATCGCAACCACACGAAGAACAAAAAAGTACTAAAAACCAAAAAAAAAAAAATATCGAAACAAACTCACAAAAAAATATATATATAAATAAAAAAGCAAAAGAAAAGTGATAAAACACATGTGCGGGCCGCAAATAATGGACATTTGTCCACATCGGTCAGTCCCTTTTATGATGGGTCTGACACCCGTCCACATCGGCCAGTCCCTTTTATGACGGGTCGTTCTCTCCTCTTCCGAGTGTGGAGTTTGACGATCTGGCGGCTATGACTGCTACGAGGCTTTGCAGAACAGCGTTTCCCTCGTGCATGGCACCCGCGACAGCTCCGACCTGGACTGCAACGTTGCCGATCTTCGTGGACATCATAGTCGCTCCCTCGCATGTAGCACAAGCCAGTGTTCTGGAAGCTTTGTTGAGACCTTTGCAAAGAGTTTTCGCCGAGTCCTCCATGGCTGTCTTCGTCAAAGATGAGGATGTGGGTGCGTCGCCACGCACCCTACCCAACGATGTCCTGCACGGCCTGCCACTCATGTCCGAAGCGTCTGTGCCACCGCCATCGGATGCGACACCCCCACCCCTCGTCGAACCGCCTCCTATGCCTCCTTCCCCGATTTTGATCCCTCCACCGATCTCGCCCGATCGGCTCCCTCCACCAGCAAGCCCCGGTCCGGTCCCCCCCTGGCCCTGCCCCGACAAGTTGCCCCCTCCACCTTCACCCCCATCACTACCGCCACCGCTGCGCCCCGATCCGCTCCCTCCGCCACCTGCCAGGTCCTCTGAAGCGAGAGTGGCATCGCACGTGTACGACTTCTTCAATCGCCACCACTCCATCGCATCCCAAAGAGGCTCCTCGAACGTTGTACAGACGTCCTTCTCCCTTCGCTGCTCTGTGGTCATGTTGAAGTACCCTGCCTCCCCAGACCTGTAGCACTTGTCCCTTATCTGGCTAACGATCTCCTTGAGTTTCGTCCACTTCTTCCTGCAGTCCTCTGCTGTCCTGTTGTACCCCTCCTCCTTCAATCGATCTGCGATCCATTCGTATCTTTTGGCACGCGTCTTGTGCTTATGCACGCCGTTGGTGTCGGCCATGAGGGCATAGTCTTCCGCGCAATTCCTCGCCAACGCTATCCGCTCCTCCAATGTCCACGGGTTGTTCTTCTTCCCCCCCTCCGCCCTCGGCGCCCTCCTCGCACGCTGCTTCTTTTGTCCCGACGCCGTATCCTCCGCCGATCGACCGACATCGCCCCGCATGACCGAACCTTCGCCGACAGCATTGTCCGCTGTCCTTTTGCCCGTAACATTGCCTGCAGGCCCCCCTGACCGAGAAGGTGTGGAAAAAGCAACGGCCTCATCACCGAACTGCATCGCAGTTGTCTCGCCATGCCACCCCTCAACCGCAAACGCAGTCCTTTCTCCACCGCCAGCTGTTCCCAAGCTTGAAAATCCACCCCCCCCACCCCGACGACTGACCATGCATGAATCCACCTTCAGACAAACGTGCAGGCACTGCACCTTGTACCTGAGCGTGCATGGTTTGGGGCTGTGGATAAGCGTTTGCGGGAACGTGCGACTGCCTTTCCGTGTGATCGGCCATCACGACGTTCTCCATTCTTCCACCCGGCGACGAGCGTCGTGGACCTGCAACACCGCATGACATCACCGATTCGTACGGGGAATGCGCCATACCCTGCGAACTCCCCGGTGCCCATGCAGCAGACAAATCGTCGTTGCCTACCGCCCCTCCCCACGCGCTAGACGGCAGTTCGGCGGGCAGGAAAAGACCGATGGACTTGTCATGCATCTGCACCGCTTGGCGAGCATACAAGGAGGAAGAACCATGAACACCCTCTCCCGCTCCACCTCCTGCTTGCCCTCCCCGGCTCGAAGGTGGAGCCGATGTGTACTGCCATTGTTGTGCACCGGGCTGGAATCCCTCGTTGCTGAACGGCGTGCGCGGCCATTGCCGTGCCGAGCCACGCTACACACCTCCACCTCGGTCCATCTGAGTGCCAGCGATGTCCTCTACACCTGACCGATCAGAATCCATGGTGTTGTCATACTCCCCCATAAGCTCGGACGTGAATCGGCGTCCTTCCATACCTCACGCAGTTGGGGCAGTTCTCTTTGCAAGCAGCTGCACCTCGTTACCCTCTCGAAGTCAGAACATGAACCGCAAAGCGGCGATCAAGCACACGGTCAGACAGACGATGGCTATGGCGGCCAAACAAAGGAGCATGCAAAGGACGACGACGACCCCCGCAATGGCTTGGCCGACCACTGACCGGCGACTGCAGTCGGGCACGCACGAAACGATGATCACCACCGGTCGTTGTGTCGCAGCGCAGTCCGTGCACTCGCGGACCGTGCGCTGCCTCGCAGGGACTGCTTCCCCGCTGCTCGTCACAAGGATGGTATGCCGATCTTTGGAGATGGCGAAGGGGGACCAAGATGCAGTGTCACCAACACCATCTGCCACCGACAGCATCTGCCAAGGAGGACGTGATGGCAGCGCGGGGACGGTGGTGGGTCGTAAAGCCGGCAAGACGTTCATCGGGCAGTGCGATTTCAGAAATGGTAAAGTCGACACCTTGGAAGCACACACCGGAGGAACGGAGAATCGACGGACGAACATGAGTGGCTGTGCTATGACATATGTCCTTCCCTGGAGCATGAAGGACTTGCATTGCCTCTGCGCAGCCACTCGCCCGTTCATACCCGGTGGTACACACCGCCGGAGGCCATGGACGTCGAGGCAGTCAGGGATGCTTCGACGAAACACGCTGGCGATGGAACGCATGGCAGCGGATGGAGGAGGCAGTCCGCGAGACTTGGGGGACCACAATTTTCACCCCGCTGTGCGCACAGGCGGCAAGGGACGTCCGCTGTCTGCACGGCATGCGAATTGGACCACGGCCTGCTTGATGCCCATCCTCGTAGAATCGGCAGTTTTCAAATTCGAATTCGAATTCGAATTCGAAAAACCGGCGTCCCGACCGCCCCTCCAGCACTCGCCCTGGCGGGGAGTCGTTTGTGGGTGACAACAGGAAATCCGTCTACCGACTGCAAGGACCACGGGGCGTGCAGGCTCGGACCACAGTTGGACCAGCACTTTCCAGAAGAAGTTTCCAAGAGAGAGATGCCCCCCCCCCTCCCTCTCGAAATGGCACAAAATTCCGGTGCAAGAGGATCGCGTGCCGCCACGACACCACGATACGAATGTGAAAACACGGAACTCCACTTTTCCGAACACTCTTTCCGACGCGGTGGGGTCTCCGGAAACAGCCGGAAACTCTCACAATCGAGTTTCCAGACGGCCATCGTCTTCCGATGTAATCCCGGAAATGTTTTTCCAGGCCATCTTTTCCAGGACTTTTCCACGATTTCGTCCTGTGGGGTCCAGCCCTTAGAGTCCGGGGACAGGAAGTGGCCTGACATTCCAGAACCCTGGTGAAAAAAGGCAACCACCAAGAAAAGAATTCCAACAGCACCTGAAAGCCAAACAATCCCAAAGGAACCACCAAAGAAAGAACTCCACAGGCCACATAATCCAGCAACTCCTTTTTCTGGTTTCTCTGTTCTTTTTCTTTGGGATAGTTGGTACAAAGCACCCACGCGGAAACCTTGTAGGCTTCGGGCCCCCCAGAAAAAGGGGCCAGTACTGTGGCCCGGGGAAAACCATCCGGGGGTATTTTCATCCCGTGTCGACCTGGTAGGCTGGTAAGGCCCAGGGAAAACTGCCCCATGCGGGCCCCGACGTGTACCCCGGGGGTAGGTCCCACTTGTGCAAATATGGGGGTTTTCGGCCGTTGATGTTTGCTATCTACGGTCAGGATCTCTTAACTCGTGTAAGTGGGACCAGGCCCCCGGTTTTCCCTCGGCACATCGTACGGGCCGGCCAGGTTTTTTTCGGCCACGCAAAACCAAAAAGGCTTCTGGGTGGGCGACCTCCACCATTATTCCTTTTCCGGGATTTCGCTTTCTAAACACTTGTTTGCGTCCTCCGTTTCTCATGCTTACCCGTGATAAGCAACCGGACGGCCATCTCCCAGAATAGAGGGGGCAGGAGAGGGTGTACTTTCAATTTTTCAGGAAAAAACGAAAGAGATGAGCGAAATCCAGCCTCTGAGTCTCACTGAATTACCTGGGCCCGGTCCGTTCCACGATGATATGTCAAGGCCGTCGCCCTTTTCTTTTTGCAAAAAAAAAAAACCACCATTCAGAAACAAGCCATCTCAACGAGTGAAACGGGCGCCTCTCTCTCTCTCTCTCTCTCTCTCTCTCTCTCTCTCTCTCTCTGTGTGTGTGTGTGTGTGTGTGTGTGTGTAACAGCGTGTTATCATCTCTCCCTCTCTATCTATCTATCTATCTGTGTGTGTGTGTGTGTGTGTGTGTGTGTGTGTGTGTGTGTGTGTTGGGTGTGTGTGTGTGTGTCTGTGCGTGTGTGTGTCTATGCGTGTGTGACAGTGTGTTATCATGTTCGCTGTACACAACTGCACAGTGTGCGAAAGCTGAATGCTACAGATGTGACGGTACACCGATTATTATACTTCAATTCCTGTTGCCCCCTGCTGGAGAGTGGCGAGAGCGGCCAAGAGCAGGATTCGCCCTCTGCCGACTTTTCAATTATTTATGAATGAATTTGAACCGGTCCTCAATTGTGCACGTGCCCGGGAGGTGCTAATTTACTCTTCTTTGTAACTTCTTAATCATGACTGCTGTTCCCGACCGTCGATTTCAACTAGACATCAGCACTGCTTGTTTTTTTCTGTGGTCGCCAAGGAAGGAAGGATGCAACAACCAAAAAAAAAAAAGAGCGTACTATTCACACTTGGCACTTTACTCCCAGTATCACTTTCCTGGATGCATCTGGCCGCAATTACAGGCAACCATCATTACATCTATCGCAACTACAGAAAGAGCTGAGCAGAAATAAAAACAGTGTGATTATGTGCCGAGTGGGGCAGAATATGTAAACTGTCACATGCAATTCCCTGCGGATGGCCGGAGTCGTTTTTGAACGTGAGAGCCCGCGACGCTCACCGCACGGGCGTCCCGAGCGCTCCAGCTCGCCGGCGGAGCGACGAGTGGATCTCTTCTCGAAGAGCGCGCCATCCTGAAACAAATCGTCTCAACAACTAAAACGAGCAAGCAATCGAGCGCGGACGCGCGCGCGTGTGTGTGCGTGAGCGTGTGT